GTAACTTTTTTGCGGACACTTACCGTTAAACCCGGTGTTAAGTTGTGGTCTGATTACTAGCGTATAATTCCCACTGTTTTTTGTGTTGGCAATACTCCCATCAAAGCATATGGCTATTTGCTTGGTTGTCATGGTTACTGGCAAACCTGTACGTACAAACTGTTACACCCAGGTTATGGGAATATTACTTGAGTCCCCTAATTGCCCCTGATTTAACAGTTAGTTTAGGTATTACTTTGTTTATTTTAAATTATAGTGAAATTATTTTTAATTCAAAGTATTTAAAGTTTTGTTAACTTATTTTGTGTGTTGTTTAGCATTGCATTGGAATTTTCCTCTAAATAATAGGGAAAGTTGTAATAAAAACCCCACTAAAGTTCCCAAACAATTAACTACACTTTAATTTATTGTGTACTAAATACTCAATTAGTTTGCTCTCTCTCTCTCTCTCTCTCTCTCTCTCGCTCTCAGAATTAAACTTTAATTAAAATAATTATCAGACAATTAAAACCAAAATATAAAACATTTATTAAATATCATTGTATTGAATGGAAAAAACTATTTTTTTGTATAAACACTTAAATACAATTTACATATCAATAAAACCATAAAAAAAATTTCTTTACATAAATATAATTAGTATTAGAGTTGCGACTAAAACCATTGCGGTCGTAATGGGTGGGGTGGGGGCGATGTTATTGGACTGCTTAGGAGGGGTAGTAATGGTTGGCGAGAGTGGTGCGGGTGTCATAGGAGGCGGTGTCATCGTTAAAACCTCTTCAATCCAGTCAATCATCATCGATACGCGCGTGAAATACTGGATACCGGGGCCGCACTCTGTCGTGTCTAAGCTATCGCTTTTGGTGGCCACGCCTATGATCACCGCTCGCTGGCCGTCAAACTGGATCAGCGGTGAGCCCGAGTCTCCCTAAAGAGATGGTGAGAGTGAGTGAGTGAGTGAGTGAGAGAGAGAGAGAGAGAGAGAGAGAGCCGCAGTGGTTTGCCATACATTACAGATCATATGCTTGTCCTCCACGATACAGATCTCGTCCACTGTCTTCCCGTAGCGGTCGCGACATAACGTCTTGGACTCAATGAGATAGCGGGCCTGTCGAAGAAAAAACGACCGGTTCTTCGCGTAGACGTCCATAAAGCCAAAGCCGGCGAACACAGCGTCTTCGGGCTTGTCGTTGAACACATTACGCGCGGGCAGACACACGGCGTTCACCACGTAGTGACCGGTCGGGTCTTTGACCATTTTGATGGGTTTGGACACTTTGACCATCACTATGTCGAGCGGCGAGTGGCTTATGCTGTCGACCACCCCGTACTTGTCCACGAAGTTGTACTGTTCGACCGAACCCACGTACACTCGCACGTCCCTTAGGTCACGGAATCTGTGGGGGAGGGGTGAGGGGGCAGAGGAGGTGTGCAACAGTTGGTTAGACTAGTGAACTTGTGTTACTACTTATAGGTTACGCTTACGATGCCATACAATGAGCGGCAGTTATGAGCCAATTGGTGTTGACGATAGCGCCGCCGCACCGGAAAGACTGTTGCGGATCAGTGTTGTCGTGAATGCTGACCGCGAATGGGAACTCTCCCTCGTCGGCCCTCTCGCCGGCGACAATACGAGTGGACGCTTGACTCCCGTTAATGTAACCACAGTTGGGCTCATTCATGGCCGAGTAGTTGCCGATTGTCATGTGACCGAACTTCATGTTCGGATACCTGTCCAACGGCGAGCTGAACCCACTGACCATTGATGGCATCGGTGCTAACAAGCGATACACACCTACGGCGTGAGAGGGGGTGGGGAGGGGTTGAGAGGTAATTGTGGGTTAGTTTTGCGGTGTTTCAAGTGTTTAAGAGATATTACCGATGAATACAAACAATAGTCTTTGAGATATCATTGGATTTGTGGTCAAAAATTAATGTCAGGTTTAAATCAGTTGTTATTTTTCAGTCAATTTGTCTGTCAGTTGTCATACAATTGAATTGAAATGCAATTCAAATAAATAGTGAATTGTATGCGGTTTTTAATCTCGCACTTAATTATTATTATGTTGATTTAATTTATATTAAAATTTACTAATTGTACAAAGTTTTGCGCAAGCATTCAGTGACTATCACACGTAGGTTAGGTTAGGTTTGGTGGCCTATTCTTCATATTGTCACCAATAGTTGATCCACAAAAAAGTGAAATCAATTTTTTAAGATAAAATAATATTGAATGAAAAAGTTGAGATAACAATAAATTAGAAACTTTATCACATACCGTAATTGATATTGATATAATTATTAATTAGTTAAATTACAATGTTTTTTATTGTAAATTACATGAATACTTGTAATATAAAACATCTAAAAACATCTAAAACATTTAAAAATATAGACTAAACAATAATAAACATTTGTTGTAACAAAAGTTTTGTTACAAAACTAAGACCACACACAAACTAACTAATGTAAGTATAATATAAAACTGCTGCACTAAACTAAAATTCATTGTAAATTACTTTTCATAGAGTTAATTAATTTTGTCAAAGCCAATCATAATCACCATGATCTTAACTTTAACTAATTTTATGCAAATTGCGTTTGCATTCAATACAATACTATTGGTATCAAACATTGTTTATTTGGTATCATTTATTAATAGGTTTAGGCGCAACACCGCCAGGCGCTCCGCCAATGGTTTACCGACATATCAAGTGATTATCTTAAACATGATTATTGCCGACTGCGCCGAACGGGTGGTGCAATTCATACGGGTCGCGGTGCTCAGCTCACTGGGACTCACTCAATACCCATTGGTGCTGGTGATTGGCCAATCGGTGAACAACTATCTGGACGCCACGCGTATGTACATTGAATCGATGACCATGGTACTATTAGCGTACGATAAATACCAGGTGTACGCTAAGGCCAACAAATTGCGAAAAGGCAGTTGGCTGAGCCATATGTCGACACCACGATTACTAGCTAAGGTATGGGCCGTGAGTCTCACTCTGGCCGCACCATTCCTGGCCACGGGTTATGTGTTTTATTACGATTACGGCCGACAATCCAACATATGTAATGTGACTGACAATTGGCTTAACAATTGGTTGACCGACACTGGGCTAAGACAACACACCCGTGTGTTCCGGGTATTGGCCGAGTTTGCTGTGCCCGCACTATTGGTGGCGAATTTCATCGGCGCCACAGTCTGGCTATATTGGCGCCATAAGCGGGAACAGTCGGCCACAGAAAACAACACACAAGCAGTCACCCAATTGGTGGCCAATTTCCAGTCAACCAAATACCAGTTCATTATGTTAGGTCTGTTTGTGGCCAAGAAGTTTGTGTTTCATTTAAGCACCGGCTTCTCCACTCACACCTCAGCCAATACATGCGATTACTTCAATGATAATCGTAACCTGTATTTTATATTACTAATTATCTCCCTTTCCATACAAACGCTCACTAATCTAGCGTTGAGTTACATTAATACCGAGGATTTACGCCGGGAGAGAGCTCGGGATACCGGTGCTGTTATGATTAACATGATGATTGAAATGATTGACATTTGTGAATCGTCCCAAGCTGAGCTTAACACAATCTGTACCAATAATTATATTACTAACTAATTGTCAATAATCTTATATAATTTTTATGTCCATTATTAAATATTTTAAATGTTAACTAACTTTTAAACAAAATATGAATGGAAAAGTTATTATTTGCATAAATAAACATTAAATTATAATTCAAATTACAATTAAACCAATTTCTATATTACATAAATATAATCAGTATTAAAGTAACGACTAAAACCATTGCGGTTGGAAAGGGAAGGGCGGGGGCGACGGCGGTGATTATATGCGGATTAGGCTGTGATGTGGTATTTGTAATATTAGTTGTAGTCATATCGGGTACAGAAGTTGTTGTGTTTGTGGGCGATATCTGTTTCTCAATCCAATCCATAATCATTGACACGCGGGTGAAGTACATGACACCGGGTCCGCAATTGTGGGATGTGTTCACTCGTTGGGTCCACGTAAGCACACCTATGATTACCGCTCGCTGGCCATCAAACTGGACCAGCGGTGAACCCGAGTCACCCTTAAGAAGCAAAGAGTGAGACTTATATTTTTGATACGACGAGAGAGAGAGAGAGAGAGAGAGAGAGAGAGAGATGCGGACATACAGAACACAACATGTGCTGAGTCTCGACGGCGCAAATCTCGTCAAACCTCCTGTGGAAGCGCTGATAACACTCGACCTCCGACTCGATGGACAGTCGGGTCTGTCTTAAGAAATACGACCGATTCATAGCGTCGACGTCCGTAAAGCCGAAACCGGCAAACAAGGCGTCTTCGGTGACCAAATTGGCTATTGAGCGCTCGGGCAGACACACACTGTTAACGGCGTACGACTGGCCATCGGTGACCACTTCAATAGGTTTGGTCACTTTGACGAGCGCTACGTCCAGAATATTAAATATGCGAATCTCGTTGACCATGTGTCTGACCAAATAGTCATACTGTTTGACCGAACCCACGTACACTCTTTGAGTGGTTAAGTTTAATCTGGATCAGGTGTGCAGTGATGGTGTGTTAGTTAAAATTAATTGAACATGATTAAAATGCTGATTGACTTACTGCACAAAACAATGAGCGGCGGTTATCAGCCAATAGGAGTTGATGATAGCGGCGCCGCACCGGTAGCTCTGATATGGAGTAGAGATATCGTGAATACTGGCCACGAATGGGTACTCTCCCGGGTCGGCCCTCTGGCCGTCAACGATGCGGCTGTGGGCCGAATGGCCGCTGCTGTTAACGTAGCCACAAGTGGGCAAATTAATGGCCGGGTAGTCACCGATACGGGCGTGACCGCGACCAAGATCAGGGTACCTGTCCAACGGTGAAGTGTACGCCCAGCCGATTGTGATACCGTGAGTGCGCCCAGACCAGTATACGCCTGCGATGAGAAGTGAAATATTGTTTGATTTATAACTGAATGTGTAAAGAGATATTACCAATGAATAAAAACAATATTCTTCGAGATATCATTGAATTTGTGGCCAAAAATTACTGTCAGATTGAGAAAAACGGTTAGTTTACTGTCTTTGCTGTGATTTTCTCTATACAATGAATGGACACACAATTCAAACAATGAATTAATTGTTTGCATTTCAATCTCGCACTTAATTATTGTTTTTAATGTTAACCAAATTTATCAAGTGTTTTACATGTAGTGTTTTACTACCACTGTCTGCACACTAACCCGACTGTCCTCCCTGTCCAACCGTTTTTACTATTGTTAGTAATACTTGGTCTATAAATAAGACATTTATGATTTGAAAACACAATAACTTTTACAATTGGTTTACGAAACAGTGTTTTATTTATACAAAAAGTGTTCATTAAATATGCATTGAATTTATTATAATTTATAAATCAATGAAATTAAAAGTAATGAATGAAAAAAAGATGAAAATTATTTTCATTATTAAATTAAATCAATGAAAATAATAATAAACTAGTTTTCTATTTGCCTATCAATAGAGTTATTGAAACAAACAATGATTAAAATAAAAAGCAGTAAATCGATAGAAAAATGTTATAAACCGAGGAATGAGTGGAACAAATGTCTTGAGATTAATCGGCAAATCACAAGCAATGACCAAACTATCCGTTCACCACGCGATCCATCAAAACGTTTCGCATATTTTGGGGTATTTTATTCATATAGTAGTTGACAATCGACTTCTGGAGCCGTTTGACCACAATGTCGGCCACAGCGGCGTCCATCTCAGTGGACACCGTTAGTGAACACTTGCGGCTCAGATCGCACGCACCGTCGCGTACGAAGAATGGGCTAACGTCATCGTCATCGACAATATCGATCACTTCCACAGACGATTGTCTGCCCGTCGTCTGTCTGTCCGTCGCCTGTCTGCCCCTAATTTGCCTAACCATCGATTGCCGGGCCATCGCTTGTCGGGCCATTATTTGTCTGACCATCGCTTGTCTGTGGGCCGCTTGAATTAGGTCTGCGGGCCGTTTGGTAAAGTTTTGTGGCCTATTTATGGGCGTCAACGGCGGTCGCATCAATTGGTGGGCCGATGGCTGACCGTTGATCTTATTGGCACATCCGGTGCCCCGTTGTCTCTGCAATTCGGTCACCCGTTTCCTGATCTCCCGCACCGACAGCGGTATCTCACGAATGGAGTCCAGATTAGTCTCAGTCGGATTGACCGCTTTCTGTACAAACAATAGATACAAATTAGACACAAATGTGTGGCCACTGAAGGCCAGAAATACGGTACCAATAGTTGGATTCGGTGTTTAAAAGTGATAACGTGTTGATACATATCGTGAACAAAGACGCGGCAGAGTTGGCACTCATACTTAGCACCCGTAGCGCCGGTATATTCGTTGATATAGTGAAGGCCGGCGATCGGTTCGGCCGAATCGTAGTTATCAGTGACCGTAAACGTAAGCGGATCTGTCTTTGGCGCCTGTCGTAAGGCTTTAGGCGATCTCTTCGGCACTATTCGCAGCCCTTGAGCCGTAAACTTCGGCGCCTGTCCTGCGGGCGGTCGCGACTGTTTCATCGGTAACTCATTGTCCAGATTAATGCGCCGATAGAGTAGCGGATCTGATGACACTTTCTGCAAACGGTAATAAAAAAACAAAATAAATTCACAACACATTTGACAGATAATTGTCTAATAATAAGATATAGACAAAGAATGGGATCAATTATAATCACCAAATGGTGGATATGATTGAAAGTGCAGTGTTGGCCAACAGCGAAAACCGTTGCCAAATGTTCACCGCAGTGGTGACAGTAATAGCCTCTGGGGTTCACTTCAATGGCGTGAAACTCGTATTTGGATAACAAACGCGGACTTACGGGTACAGACCGTTTGTCGAACTCATTCTTCCACATCAGGTCTCTTCGCATTATGTTTTCGTTACGCTTCAGCACAGGTCGGGCCGGTCTAGTGGTCAACCGGTGGTTAGGATAGGGCACCGATGGCAGTGTCCGGGCGGCCATATTCCTGAGTTTGGCGGCCGTTAGCAACCGATTGGCTGTCGCCCGAGTGGCCTGATCTACGTTACGGGACATAAGATAATTAGTGGCGGCGGCGATGTTTTGCCTGATACTCGGCGGGTGAGAGGGGCCGGCAGTGGGTCCAGTGTTCTTAAGTATAGGCCGCGACGGGAAAGTGGCCGCCGACGGCCCCGGTATGGCCTGCGCTCGCTGTGACAGCCGTGCGATCGCCGACTGAAGTTCGGCGATACTCTGGCGAACCGTCGACTTTTGCGGATCCATTGAATCAAACTGTTGATAGGGTTGAGCGCGCGTCGCTGGCCTACCGGTGCCGTAAGCGTTACCATTTGACGCCCCATTACCGCTGTAATCAATGACTGTGGCCTTATATTCAGGTTTTACGATCCGGTTCTGAGCGGTCATCCCTACGTACGGCGCGGGCCGTCGTCTCGGCGATTGTGGTGTCGCGTACGGCGCCTGACGAGACTCATCCGTGTCCGGGAAGTGCCGGTACGGCGCCGCCCGTCGTGGCCGACGCCTCGGCTGTACCCACTGTTGCGCCGCCCGATTGCGACCGTCAGTCGGGAACGAGTCGCTGGTCAGCACAGCGTTACTCGCGATACGATTGATGGCGTAATTGGTGTTCGCTTAAGAAAATATAGACAATGGTTAGACATCGGAATCAGACTGAGTGATGCGCTCACTGTTGGCATACCTATTGCGGTCGATGGCCGGGCGGGTCGGGCCGGCGATTGGCGGCTACCAAACGGATCCACCGACGCGTTCATCTGTTGCCGGTTTAACTTGCGGTTGTCTTCGGCGGCGAACGCGAAATAGTCGGTCACCTGTTCCCTGTCGTGGCGGGCGTTGGCCAGCGATGTCTTGTAGGGCGAGTACCCGCCGGTCGGACCCCCAGTGGCGGACACGTCGTGCGGTGTCTGCGCTCTCATGATTGGTCCGCTCAGTTGATACTGGTTTATGATGTCCGACATGTAGGCGTCGGTGGTGTAGTTGTTGGCCTGCATTGTACTGTTCGCCCAATACAATTGATCCGAAGACTGGATCAGTTAAAGTGATAATTGATTTAATCGACAATTTGTTTGCAAAATGAGTGCAAATGTTATTTGTATTGTGTTTTGGTTGACAACACACAGCACTCGCGTTACGTTCGCATACACTGTAACGTAATATTCGCGGTGTTTATGAATGAGAAACACGTTTAATAACATGTGTTTGGGGGGCAAAGGGGGCGTAAATACCAGCGATATTCGTAACGCTTTTTGTGTATACACTATATTGATTGCAGACAATAAACAACACGAAATGTAAACAATAATTGTTTTCAACGAGACTTTTAAACGACATTTAAATGACATTTAAGTTTAGTTTTTAATACAGTTTTTGATTTAAAAAAGTTTTTTAAAACTCTTTTTTCTCGCGGATTCGTTGCGAGTGATAATTGTCACCACAAGTGGATCCAAACAATAACCGCAACGCAAATGTAAACCACACACCAAAACACGCACTACTTCTTCGAAGATCACTGTATTTGATCCCAAAGCGCGCGGCGCCGCCGATGACAGCCGTTTCCGTCTCCGATGGCCGTCAAGTCATTATCATCGGCAGCCGTGGCCTACAGGTGGTCGACAACTACCACAACACCAATACTCAAGACAATGACAATCAGACGCGAAGTACAATCACTACAACAACTACTACTACGACAGTATCGCGACCTCAGCGGCGATCGCAGACACCGACCGCCACCACAACCGCCGCCATATCGGAGGCCATACTTACCATCCGGACAACGGATTCTGTCGGCCACTAGTCATGCGATAGTCGGCGGCGGCGGTGGACACGGATTATCCTATCGTCGCTATCACTCGGCGTACGAACCGCGCGAAGAGCTCAACGGCGAGCGCCTATTGACCACTCAAGAGGTGGCCACCGCTTTGAGGCCCTTCTACTTCACTGTACATCCGGACCGCTTCTGGCGCTTCCCGTCCGCGAAGGACACCAACGAAGACTCGTTGAAACAGTTGAACGCATACATCGACGACGCTGTGGGCCGGAGGGAGCGATCGGCCGATCGACTCATCAAATTCTTCGTCAGACGCGACACCGATAGCGATGTGCCGACGAGTGTCAGCGCCGCCGCCGCCGCAGCGGAACCGGTGGCCGACGATAACGACTCGCAGCTGAAGGAAATCAGTATAAGTCTACTCCGGAAGGAGACTGTGAACCGAATTGTACACCGAATTCTGTCCGAATGCAAACTGTCCACCGATTATCTGCAACGGATTGGCAAACAACCCAAACCCGCGGTGTCGACGACAACCACTAGCCGTGATCACCGCTCAAACACTGCCAATACTGACAGTAATAGCTTTAAGTCGAAACGCAACTCAAATCTGAATGACTTTTGGATCAATTTTAACCGAAGAGGAAACGCACAGACATCGGCCGAAACCGATGCCGAAGACGATACCGAAGAGTTTATAGAGTTCGCCGATTCGGTGCGGCGCCGGCCGGCAGACACACTTCGCCAATGGCTGGGCGCCAATCGGGAACAGTCGGACACACGTCGGGTGAGAAGCGAACCCATACGCCAAGAGTTTCACCGATTGGCCGACGAGTTGACCGTCGAGTTGGGTCTGTCGGCGCTGGTGTGGAAGGACTGCGGATGGGGTGTCACTCACGTGAGGGGCGCTCTGAAGAGTGTACACACTCTGAGCCAACAGTTCGCCGCTGAGTTCGGGGCACTTCGCGGCCGAACACTGGCTTTCGGCCGCCAAACAGGCGTCACATTTGACGGACACATTGTGTTGAACATCGAAGACGTTCGCCATAATTGGCTCGATTTGATCCGCAATATTGGCAAATATGATGAAGACTTGCGACGAGTGCCCGCAGCCGAGGCCGAGCTGTCCGCCGCCTTTCGCGGTATACGAGTAGTGCACCGGAAGTTCAGGCCATCGGTTTTGGTCAAGAGTTACGTGAAACACGTGCGCAAACTGACCGCAGCGCTGGACACGCATATCAAACTCCACGGCTATCCCCGCCAATGGCCGCCTGTGTTGGACGCGTACCGATTGGTGGTCGAGTGCGAGGCCGGGCCGTTGATGCTGTCGCCCACCGGGCAGTTCATAGTCCCCGCGTCGTGTCCGGCGGGACTGCTGTTTGACTTCGTATCGACAAATCTCTTCAAATCACGTCTACTGAGCGATATGTACGCCATGTATAAGTCGCGCGAAGACACGATTGTGGCCGAAACGGTGACAGCGCTCGGCCTTCTGGCCATCGAGAAGGACGACAACGTGACGCCCGACCTAATGATCGACTGTTGCCAACGGCTGCTCACCCATCGGGAGCTACTCTCGTGGCTGTTGCGCGACAGTCGTCTCCGTGTGTCTCACTATTACTCCGTACTATTGGACGGCGAGATCTGTATCCCATGGAATTTTACCGTTTAAATCATACCTCTCGGTGCCGCTCAACCCACCCGTTCCGCTCCCGACCCAACCGATTAGCGGCTAGTCTTAAGATGTTTGCGGGAAAACACCCGATAAAAGTCCTGTACTATAAAGTTATGTAACGGTTAAACACTAACCTTACTTTAACCCTTGCTTTAATCCCTCTATACCCTCCACTCCCCCCTCTGTGGCACCGGGATGTTAGCCCCCAGTTGTTTGTGTGTATAGTTACTTAATGACAAAAGGTTTTTAACCACGTTTTAATTGTAAATTTAATTGATTTAATTTGATATATTTTGTGCTCAAACACACAAATAACGTGTTAACTAAAGTTAGTATTTTATTTGTATTGTTATGTAAAATACAGATATCTATCAAGTTTTGCTGTAAATTTAGTTATTATTTTATATAGATTTTACTCATAATTTAATTAAAACGTTATAATTTGTTAATTAAAAGTAATAAATAAAAAGTTTGTAAAATAAAAGTACAAATGGTTTGCATCGATATCTATGGTTAGGACACGTAATGAATGGACGAACGCATTGCCAATGCATTCATAACAATAATAAACAGTAAACAACACATCAGTAATGCTGGTGACCATCGGATCAATTGGTGGTGACTATCGGCGACAACAACAGCAACAACAACCCCAACAGTATCTGTCAGCAAACGATGTCTACCGCCGCGACGGCCAGTGAAGTGATCGACACCTCAGCCGCCGTTGAAACAGCTGTTGTCGACCCGAAGAGCGCTTCCAGCGATAACCAGTTGACCGCCGAAGAGGCCAAACATCTGTTGACAGTTATGATGAGAGCGAAAGTATGGGTTTTACCGTCGATGACGGGTATCATTAGATTAGATTAATTAGTGTTTATGTTTGAAGACATCTGTCACTCACTGTTATCTCAATTGTCATATCAGAGACACCCATATGTTTACCTCAGGAGTCAATGAGTGCCAGTGTTTTGTATATTAAATGTTAGGCTTATTATCACTTGTCCTTAAGATTAGTGATTATAACGATTAGTCGTTCAATAGTGTACTCCTGTAGTGATAACTGTATTGTTTGTGTTTAAGAAACTATTGTCTCTCTTCAGCGCTATGGAGAGAGAGAGAGAGAGACTTATGATAAGGCAAATACCATAAGTACTTCATAGTCTCTCTCTCTCTCTCTCTCTCTCTCTCTCTCTCTCTCTCTCTCT